ACTGCTCGTTGATGTGCCGGAGAAGTTGGGCGAGGCGGTTGACTCGACGGCGCAGCGCGCTGGCGCTAGCGACGCGGCCTGATTCACGGCCAACGCCAGGCTGCCGCGCAGCCGCCGAGAGGTCCTGCGCGAGGGCGGACCGCTGGCAACCCGAAGTTCCGTGCCCTGTGCCAGCGGTGGTGCTCGGCAGCTAATTGCGACCCGCACCCTAGTGGGAGGAGGAGCTGGAACTGGCGACGGCGGCCTGGGCGGGGAGATCGCAAGCCGCCCAGTCCTGTCCGTTGGGGGGAGAGACTTGGCACGCATCGCGTGAATCAGCGCGGTCGCTGCGTTCTTCGTCGTCGCCGTCGCCGTCGTTCATAGAGGCGCCGAGCCCGAGCCAGTCGAGTTCGTCTCCGCCGAGGCGATCGAGCTGACCCGACCGCGGATCGTCGAGGTGGTTGAAGGTCGAAGTGGTCAGGTCCTGGTGGACCGTCTGGGTGGTCGGGGCCGCCCAGCGAGCCTGGTGGCTCGTGCCCATCTTGACCTACGGTCAAAGGCTTGGGCTTCATCTTGCTGGGTTCAGCCCTCCAACACGCCTCTCTTTTGTCCGGCAGGGGGGGGGCGTCTTGCGACGTCGGTCATACATGGTGACGGCTGCGCAAGTGACGGACAGCGAACGCAGGTCGCAACTTGGCGTCGTCGATGAGGCCTTTTGGGAGGGCGTGCAGGCGCGCGCCGAAGTGGCGAGTTCGTCGGCGTGGCGGTTGGAGGCCACTGCCGTTGGCGCAATACGCCTCTCGTTGATGCCCTCACTAGCCCCAGCGGCTTTCGACCTTCTGGACTTCGAACATGTCTGGTCTGGCCTGTAGGACCCGGTGGATCTCGGGCCAAAGGTCGGCCTGAGCACCCCCTTGCGGCGGCGGTTTACCCGAGAGACGCTCCTCGCATCCGCCGACCACGGCTTGGCTGTCAACGGAGATGTGTGGGCAGGGGGTTCAGCTGTGGCTGACGAGGTGAAGCATGGCCAGCGTCTCGGCTCTCTGTGCGGACTGAGCCAACCCGTGCACCCGCGCACAGTTCTTGATGAGCCGGAGGTCAGGGCCGCGGTACACTCCGAATCTGGCGCTGGCGAGAAGCGGGCGTGCTCGGTGGGAATAGGCTCCATTGGCGGACGCGGAATGGGCTGCGCCAGCTCGCCCTCGGCGAGCGGCGAGGGCGACCTCGAGATCAAGGAGCTGGGGGTCTTCCTCCAGAAGGCCGCAGTATATAGCATGCGGCAGAAGGTCTCGCCATCGCTGCTCGGCGACCATGGTTTTCATAGCAGTTTTTCTCGGATTTCCAGCAAGAGAATTTCCAAACGACGTGCTCCTGGTTTTCTTTTTGATTGCATTATCTGCACAATGGGGATGCGCCGCCGAGATGCCGGCCTTGGCTTGTCTCTTCTGGGCGCGGCCACCCCCGCGGACGCACTTGGTGAGGAGACCAGATCGCCAAGCCCCGCATGCGGCCTTGCCTGTGGCACGGGGAAGTCACGTGTTAGCGCGGTAATGAACGGCAGCGACGATCCCCAGGTCGCGCCTGGTGGTCGGGATACGTCGCGGGAACTACCTTCTGTGCAAAGCACGGACCACGTGCGTGAACAACTCAGCTGGCAGGTGTTTCCACGACAGGAGACTACCCCAGTCGTCATACGTCGCGCCGCCGGTTGAGAGCGCGCCCAGGAAAGACGAGGGCGTGGAGGGCCCACTGTGGGGTCAAGTATCTTCCTCTGGATCTAATGGCCCGCAAAGTGGTGTTGTTGTAGAGGTTGCTGGCTCGCTGGCTGGGCGCTTGGATGTCGGTGCCAGTGGTGCACATGCTGGCCACCAGGGACCTAACAGAACTTGATCTTATTTATCACCCCAGGATAGGGTCCCACGTGTCCACATCATGAGTTTGCTCACGGCTCTGGCGTCAGCCAAGATAGCGTTCTGGTCTGGCTCCAGCGGGCGAGTGCTCGAGGGCCCCAAGGGCACCACAATGCTTTCGAAAGTCTAGAAGGTTGACTGCAAACCAAAAGGGCTTCCAGAATGCTCCAGGAGGCTGCAGTGAACTCTAGAATGATCCAGAGGGCTCTACATGGATCCAGAGGGCATTCGAGTGCTCTCGAGTGTGCTCGAGGACTGAAGGCGGCTCTAAAATGCTCTGACATGGTTCAGTGTGCATCAGAGAGCTCTCACATCATCCATTGATGTCAGAAGGCATCCAACGAATCCGGCTGCTTTCGAGGGCTCTCGAGAGATCCAGAGGGTTGGGGCATGCGCTAGTGGTGCCAGAGAGCTTCTAAGTATATGATGAAGTTGATTTTAGACCATAGAACGTCCAGCAGGCCTGGCAGGGTTCCCGGAAGCGACACGGAGCTCAAGGCCGCAAGCTAGTAGTTCAGACCTCGCTCATGGGCCCTGCACAACTGTGGAATGTTTCTGAAGGTTCTAGAGCGCTGTCAAGGATTCCAGACGTTTCTAGAATGTTTCGCAGAGAGCTCCAGGTAGTTCTAGCAGAGAACTCTCGGCGGCTTCACAAGTTTTGGAATTGCACCAGAAGGTCGTGGAGAGCTCGAGAATCCGCCGATCTGGCGCATGAGTTTCAGCTCTGCGGGGGGGGGCCTGGGGGGGCTCTGCCGGGGGGAGGGGGGGGGGGCCTGCTCCGCCTGTGCTCCGCTCTCTGGGCGGGGCTGAGACATGTAAAAAACTGGCCACGTCCCACCCGGGTGGCCAGAGAGCCCAGGATGACCGCCAGATATTTCCCAGACGGCTCAAGATGCACCCAAGATGGCCCAGGATGCCCTCCAACAAAGGCCCGAAGAGGCCCAAACCATTGATTGTCTACACGCTTTTGAAGGATTTAGACGCTTCATTCTTTTCGGCCTTCCAACGGCCCCAGAGGCCCCCGAGATCGCCCCAGAGGCCTTCAAGATGGCCCTATGACGGCCCAAGAGGCTCCCAAGACGGCCCCAAAGGGTCCGAAGACAGCCCCCCAAGCCGGCCAAGATAGTCTCCAAAACGGCCCTGAAGCGCCCCCAGAGTGCTCCCAGACGGCACAGCGAGGCGCCCAAGACGCCTTCCGACGGCGTCCGACGGGCCAGGAACGCCCTAAGGCAACCAAAAGGGCTTCCAAGAAGCCCCCAAGAGGCTCAAAGGCCCCCTCACGAGGCCTCCTCCTGCGACGGCCCCGGAGAGGCCCCAAAACGGCCCCATAGGCCTCCAAGCAAACCCGAACACCATCGGAAGCGCCCCGGATGGGCGGCTCTGGCCGGAGGCCACTGCAATAAAGTGGAAGACTCGAGCGCTCTCCAAGGCTTCACAGGGCACCATCATGTGCTCGAATGTCTGAGACGAAACGAAGCGAAGAAACGACAGAAAAGGAGCTTGCACTCAAGCTGGTGGACGCACCTAAGCACAAATAAACATATGTGTGTATTCGTATTGAGACAAACAAAAATCCGTGATCGTAAGCTTCGGCACACTCGTTAAATTTACGAATAATATCCGATCCACTGCGGCCCAATACAACATGATTGCAACGCATACTACGGTAAGACGCAGGCACTCATCTAAACGACAATTGCGCCATGCTATCGAAATTCTACTACATGGCCCATGCGCCGCTAACGCCGTTCTATCACGGAGACGCAAAACACCCTTGCACATGCTATACTGCGCAATCAATAAACGCGTACATACGCATCGCCTGCACAATCGCGCAAAATTCTGGATTTGCATCCACGGCGGGTTCCAGAAGCCCTGGATGTATAAAAAGCGTCATCCCGAGTTCCGCCAGACGTCCGCCAGCTTCCGCCGGCGGAGGCGCCCTTGATTTGCGTCCGCCGGCTTCCGCCGCCCGTCCGCCGCCTTCTGCAGAGGAAGAGGTGTCAATCTCTCGACCCCTGAGAGGCAAGGCCCGTCCCGGGACACCTCGTGATGTTGGCGCGTGGGCCTGCACAGTCAAAGGACACTGCGGGGAGGGCACGATGGCTGGCATCCCAGCGGCCAGGCCCCTATGGGAGACCAGAGATCCAAAACGGTCCAAAACCCCATGAGGGGGGGCCATGGTGGGCGCCCACGGTGCCCAGAGCCGTGTCGTCGACCACACGCCCGGCTGTCCGACGATATGATTTGTTCAATCCCGGCTTGTTCCTCGATTTCGGCCTCTGAGCCCGGTAGTGGAGCCCGGGGCCATCAAAGCCTGACCCGGGAAGGAGAACTGCCCCCGGGAAGGGGTCGGAAGCTCTGGGGCCGCAGCTTGAAAAACATATCCGAGGACATCTGAGTAGATTACCCATGCATATTGCACCTCACATTTAGCACAGTATGAATTGCACCAAACAAAATGAACTAGTTGCACTAGACATATTGTGGCACACAGATTGCACCACATACACTGCACTATGTTTGCCAGCGAGGATCCCAAGTAGAGGGATCTTACATTCTAGATGAGCGATCTGTGTGCCACAATTTATGCACTGTGCAACAGGTGTGTGTGCGTGTGTGTGTGTGCCAATCGACATGGTGCAGCGCATACGATGCAATCTATCTGGTAAGATGTTTGTGGCGCAGTCGTTCATGTGGCGCGACACGGCGAAATATCAGCGACGCAGGCTATGTGCAATCCATGCGATGCAAGCGACAGTATACATGGCAACAGGCACCCCTCGGCAGCGATGGACAGAAATCACAACAGGGGAGCAAGGGAGGCAGAGAAGAAGAAGGCCGAACGAAAGCTCGGCACGGGGACGCAGGTGAGACACCGAGGCGAAGTGTGTGTGTGTGTGTGTCAAGCAACACTCGCCCACACTGCCTGACAAGCTAGCGACTAACAGCAGGGCAGGGCGATTTGCATCTTACTGTGAGTTGGAAGTCGTTAGGAAGCGCGGAGAACACACACACACACACACACACACACACACACACACACACACACACGCACAAACAAACAAACAAACAAACAAACAAACATACACAAACACACTGACGCAAGACCTGTACGTGCTTGTCGCTCAGGCTCTGGCTCTTGGAATGAATGACCTTGTGGAGGTCCGCGGGCATGTACTGGGCGGGCACGATGGGGAGGGGCGCGCACGTAGACGCGAGGATCTTCAGCAGACGGCCACAGCGGGGAGGGGCAAGAGCCAGAGGAGAATTCGTAGGGCACGGGTTTCGGGTGACCCCCCAGTGGAACTGGACGGCGGTGGGGAAGTTCATCCAGACTTGGCTCCGCGGGTAGCGAAACATCGCAGTCCTTCCAGCATGGGGCACATCTTCCAGAAAGGACAACTAACGGTGAGCAGCCCGTCTCCCGCTCCTCATCCCTGTCCCTCGCGCTCTCCCAAGTTGACCCTCTCCAATAACTTGCCCATCTCAGCTCATTATCATTTTCCTGCTCCCCATCGGTTCCCCCTCCCATGTCCCTCCCGCATCCCCTGTTTCCCTCATCCTCCTCCTCTGTCCCCCCTCCACCTCCTCTTCATCATCATCCGCCAGATCCTCATCATCAGCATCATCATCGCCACCATCATCATCAGTATCAGCAACATCACTCAGCACCATCAGCATCATCATCAGCATCATCATCATCAGCATCATCATCATCATCATCAGCATCATCACCATCACCATCGCCATCACCATCACAGTCATAGGCGCTCTCATCCTCCTCGTCCTGCTCCTGCTCCTCCTCCTCCTCCTCCTTTTCCTCCTCCGCCTCGCAGATCCCTCCCTGTCGACCATCCATCCCTCCCCAAACCCGTTCAACTACCACTACCCGTCTAAATCTCCTCCCACTGTCCGTGCCACCCTGCCTTTCTCGGAGAGCATGTGGAGGGGAAGGGGAGGGAGGGGAGGGAGGAGGGAGGGAGGAGGACGGAGCTAGGAGGAAGGACAGGGAGAAGAGAGGGAGAAGGAGGGAGGAAAGAGGAAAGATGAAGGAGGAAAAGGGAGAAGGAGGAAAGAAGGAACATGTAAACCCAGGAAGCATCAACGGACCAGGCTAAAACAAGTGTGCACATCAAAACTGCAACACACACACACACACACGCGCGCGCGCGCGCGCGCACGCGCGCGTCCCAGGTCCCCTCCTCACGAGTCCCTGGAAGCACTCAGCGACGTGCATGCGAGAGAAACACTTGAATATGAATCGCCGTCCATATTTCCGGTTGTGCGATCATCGAAGGAATACTATGCCCAACGAGAGCCCCCTTTCACAACAACCACCAAAAACACAAAACGCGCAACACATAAAAAAACTGGAGCAACCTATGACATGTCTGGCCATCGGATGGAACGAACATCGGGCAGCTACGTGATGTTGAACCATCCGCGAAACTTGTGCGAGCTTTCAGACCGATGGCCAAAACGTCGAAGAATTCTCAACCGAGAGAACAATGTTGGAAAGGACCTGCCCTACATCCGTAGAACCATTGGAAAACTTGGCACGAATGTGCGAAAAACTGAAGCGATAACCACCTGTTGCAAACAACACGCCCACAATCCGCGTAAGTTCTGGGAAAGTACACAGCGGATGTGCTTGGCGCTCGGGTGCAAGACCCATGTTGAAAACAGTTGCCACAAAATCTCGTTTGGTGTCGACAATGTACAACTTCAATTTCATTAGCGGCCCGACAATCTCAGGCGAAGCGCATGGCGGGCCGTACCGACATGTGTGGTACTGCCCGCTTACGCGAAAAAAAGTACGAGCGCGACGCAACCTCAACACAGGGCATCGCCATGCAGTCGTGAATGAGCGAACCTGGACAGATGCACAAAGATTCGCCACTTGGCCTTGCGCCCGCTGGGACGTGATAAATAGTCTTCTGTTATCTAGTAAGTTGGTTGTGAATGTTCTAGGGCAGCCCCCCACCCCTCGCCGCGCGCGTGCCTCGAAAATCGCCCCCCCCTGAATTTGCCTTCCGGTTATCTGTTCGGCCCCCAGACGGCGAAGATGGCCTCCAAGACGGCTTCCAAGACAGCCAAAATGACACCAAGACGGCCCAAGATGGCCCTTCGCGGCTCAAGAGGCTCTCAAGACGGCCCAAGAGAACTTCAAGATGGCCCAAGAGGGCTCCCAGAGGGCCTCCAGAAGAGTCCGCAGAGGCAAAAAAGAACGATGCTCCTGAGGCTTTTGATGGATTTTGATGTTCTCGCCAATTGGGGTTCGGACCGCCCAGGGCGGCCCAAGAGGCCTCCAACAGGCCGCTAAGATAGTTCCAGGCCAACCTAAGAGGCGGGCCCCAAGTCGGCCCAAGGGGACCCAAAGATCGCCCAAGGGGCTCCCAAGAGGGCCCCAGAACGGCCCTGACCCGCCCCGAATAGGCAACAACATGGCCCAGAGAGGCCCTCAGGTCGGCCTCCGAATGCGGCAGACGGGCCAACAATCCATCAGGATGGCCCACGAAGCCCCAAGACGCCCCCAAGAGGCCCAAAGAGGCCCCTGAGAGGCCCCCAGGAGGCTCCCAGGATGCACAAGAAGTACCCCAAGAAGCAT